TATATTTTCAGTGATTGTACTACACTTAAAAAGCAATGGGATGAAACCAGCTCAGCACCACACCTGAATGCCTCCTGCAAAAGTCCATTGGTATCAGTGGGTTTACATTTCTTTCCCCTAATTCCTAGAACACATTATGCAGCCCAGGGTAAGCTTTTGCCTATGACAAATGATACAATAGTCCCTTTAGCTGAACACAATCTTGTGCAAATTGTGAAACCCCAATAGCTAACACAAACACTGAGAAATACAATACCTCTTCTAAATCTAGAACTCACTGTTTTGTAGAAGTTCGTATTATGGGAAAAGGTTGCCTGTTTCTCACCATAAAAATATCCACAGGTCAAGAAAACAAGTACAGGCATTTGTGTGCAAGCACTATCTGTTTTTAACCCCCGGTTTTCTTTGGAGAGTTTTCTACTTTTCATTGCAACCCTTTTCCTTTTCCAGCTTGAGAGCACTGCTGCTCAAAGAGATGCCCATTTTTGGGGGGTGACAGGCAGTCTCTTCAGCCATCCCACAGCTGGGTGCTGTAATGTAGGCAGTGCTCCAGAGGCTGAGCAGCTGCAGGAACAGTTAAGTCAGTCATAACAAAGCAAGGCCATGATTTTCCCTCCTTCCAGCTTTCACTTCTCTACCTAGTAGTGATCTTTCTAAAATACCAGCAAAATACTCTCCTTTAAAATATTCTTCAGACCTCTCAGTCCAGACTGTTGCATTTTTCCTTAGGAGAAGAAGCATTGTCATGTCTGCTGTGCAGAGGAATAAAATAAGATGATATTTTATGCAATGGCAATGTCCTAATCTCTGAGAAGTATGCTAAGAGCAATTAAATACTCAGTATAATCTCCTTGAGGCAAGAGTCACGTCTTTATTTTTCATTGGTACAGCTTTTAGTACAACTGTGTTCTGGCAGACAGCTACTGCTGCCTCATTACTAGAGCTAGTTATTGCCTTTGTCTTAGTTAGGTTTGTTATTATAGGGCTATTATTACAGTAGGATTTAATTAAACAAAATGCAAGGACAACTAAAACACCTCTGTAATTTCCTGTTTTCTAAAACACATACTTCTTAGTAAATCTACTCCCCTACTCTTATTTTTAAAGAAGACCCAGATGTAAGTATACAGAAAAAACAATACTGTGCAATGAGAGGTACACTATATGCAGAATTTTAAACCCATGGAACTCATTGCTTGCTATTCACATACATTTTGTATTTTGTGCTCACCATTTGACAACATTTATCATTAATGACCATACAAAGCTATTTGAAAGCTTTTGTAATTTCCTGGTTTTAGAATTATGGAAAATTCAGAACCATTGCATATTTATATTATGCATTCACATTACATAAATGTTCAGTATCTAATGATGAGTTCTATATGGAGGTTTTGTTTGCAGGGGGTTTTTTTGGCTTTTCCAGACATGTTTCTCTTTTCAGCTCTTGTCATTCCATTGGTTCCCTATTTACCATCTAACATTTATATTAGAATTAAATTACACTTCCAATTTCATTACTTAAAATGTAGAAATTTGCCCTAGAAAGCTAAATAAAATATAATTTCCTGAGGGTATTGCAATATTTTCATTCCGACTTGCTGACTGGAGTAAAATAATGTAATATGTGGCATTTACAGATCAGGCCTCTTTTCAAAAAGGATCCAGTCTGCTTTAATAATGTTACTTCCCTTTTGCGTCCTCTACCTTTTGTTCCTGTGTTTGTATGTGTGATATACATTGTGGGTAAATATTCTTAGTATATAAAGTATCTCTCTTTTTTATAAAAGAGTAATTTTAGTACCTGACAAAATATAATTAATCCCTTTTGGTTTGCAACACAGCAGTTCTTCAACAAATCAAAATTATACAAGCATTCACAAAGTTAAAAATTTAAGTTGGTTCTTTTGTTCGTTTTGTTTGTTTGTTTGTTGGGTTTTTTTGGTAACCTGATTTAGTTTTCTGTCACTTACAATGTCAGGTCAAGAAGCTATACTTTTAAACTAATCAAAATATCTAAGTCATAGTGGGAGATGTGAACTGTTTAATCTGTGACAGGAGATTTTCCATGTCAAAATATTATATAGTAGTTGCCCAGTTTTAGAGAAAACAAGATGACTGGCTCACCTGTACTCTTAAAGACTACAATCCTTTCAAAATTAAGCATGACATTTTTTAAGCCAGACTGATCTTTTAAGATAAAATGTCTCAGAGCAGGGAAATAGAATCACTTTGCACCATCAATTCTCAAAGGTTTTGCTCTAGAAAGAAATCTTGTGGTCTTTGTATTACAGTGCATTATAAACAGTTTTAAATGCTCTAATAATATATACAATCCATTTCTTTGCTTTCTATTACTTCCTGTGTATAGTGCCAGCAGAGGATGTCAGGTTTATAACAAGATGCTATGAACACCCACAAAAAGCGGTAAAGATATTCACACTCTCTGCTGCAGGAGGCTATGCTGTTCCAGTCAGAGATCTTGGTACATGCACACTGTGGGGGCACAAGGTTCCTTTCTTAGTTTTGGCTTCTTTTTCTAAACCTAAAGGGAAGGGGACGTCCTTTTGTCAACTAGAGAAAGGCAGTGGGAGAAAAAGAGAAGTGCATAAAAATGCTGTCAAAGATGCTGATTACAAAACTGAATTTCCTTTTTCTTCCTATCAGACTGTTTGTAGGATTCTCAAGGTGAGAAATTATTTTCCTGTAGCCCCAACTACCCTAGACCAAACATGACAGATACGTGTATTGCCTTCTGCCCTGGGAAAAGCTGTCTGAGTTTGGTGTGGCCTAGCTAAATAGATATCAAAAGGAGAAGAATGCTATCAGTGTCAGCCATGTTTTAATAAAAAATACATCCAACAAACTCTGATTTATTTTATAAATTTAGTTGATGTGCATGCTTAGGTGCTGAAAGACCTAAATTTCAGTCAGGCAATTGACCCTATCACAAAAAGCTTTCAGCTCATTAGATTAGCACTCGGAAATATCAGTTTAAAACAAAACAAAACCAAAAACACAAACAAAGCACACAAAAAACCCACAAACAAACAAAAAACCCAACTTTCTGAGTTTAAAGGACCTGACGGATACCACATACTGTTAATAGGAGAGTGTTATCAATAGGATTGTTCCTGTGAAGTTCTTCAGGGGTCAGTGTCGGTGTCAGATCCAACTACTCCCTTTTCTGTTCCAGCCCTTGAAGCATATCTGCAACCACTGTCTTAGAATTTACCCATGGCAGAAATTCTGACAGAATGGCCCATAGAGAAGACAAGACAGTCAAATTTATCCGAATCACCCTGTAACCTAGGTTCATTACTACTGTGCTTTCATACCAACATCAGATGTCTAAGCATAAGTAATGCAGGTCATGGAAGCATTGTTTCCAGAAAGATTTAGGAATCAGCATAAATCAACATGACCTCAGCAAAACAAGGTTTGTTATGTTTAAACAAGGTGGCAGTGATGTAGTACTTTGAGTAAAATACTAAGCCAATTTCCAGCATTGTTTTTTTGGAGTTTTTTAAGATGTTGGAAAAGTGGTGACAACACAAAAAAAAATGGAGTAATTGTTCTATTGTTGAGGAAAACAAATAAACAAAAAAGTAATTCAATCTTTTTTGCTTATTGTAATGATGGATGGAAAGTGGTTTTATCAATTTATGTAAGGACTTTGGAGAATGTGAGTGTTCCTAATCAGTGAGACAAGAGCAACAGCTACAGAAATCCAGAATAGAAATGTCACACTGTTTCATTTCTTTTTAATGAGAAGATAAATTAAATGTTCTAGGGGGGAAAAAATAAAAAATAAAAAATTTTAAAAAGCATGATGGGTTCTTTCTTATGGCTTCAAATTAAGGCGTAAAAATAGCTTCTGCTATACAGGAACAATGGTTGAAATTCTTTTCCATGCATTACTGCAACTAGCTGATAACAGCAGCCTATTCAATACTTACTCATGACCTATTTGTGATACCAGTCAAGGCAAAGGTGATACAGGTTGAATACTACCAAAAAGTAGCTACTGGGATCATCATACACTTTGGGAGATTGGAGAATGCATTGCACTGAGACATTTTCAGGTACTCTAAGCATGCATTTGTCTTCCTGGATATAAGGAGGTGCTACACATGTGTTCTGGTTTGAGCCAGGATGAAGCCAATTTTCCTCTTACTGATTTTTTTTTCCTTCAGTAAGCATTCTTTTAACTAGTCACAGTGCATTCTAAGACTGATAACAATGGAATGTTTTTCTAACTGCTGGGTATTCAAGGTCACATCTTTACTCTGCCAGCTCCGACACTATGGGTAGATCTGTGACCCCCCTGTAGGAGGCTGAGTTAGACAGACAGCAAAACTGGCCAGAGATATTCCATTCCATAGATCTACGTAGGCTCAGAGGAAGGTCAGAGATCACAGAAGACAACTTCCTTCCTGCTTCTTCTTCCCTTCTCTTCCGTCCATGACCGGCATCCAGGGTGAACTCTGTCCATCCATCACTGTTGACCCCCAGGCTCGAGCTCTCCTGACCCTCATCACTCTGTGTTCTCTCTCCAGCAGCAGCTCTGGGACTTTTTGGGACCGTTCACAGCTCAGGAGATGCTGTGGGAATTTCTGGAGGTGGGGGGAGGCAAGAGGCTTTTGCACATACCTGAACATATTCATATATAATTGTATATATTTTCTTATATCATTAGTGTTTAATTAAAGCTTTGTAGTTTAGTTTTCAATCCAGCCAAGTCTCTCTCTTTTTCTCTCTCTCTACTTCCCTACCTGGGTGGGAGGGGATCGAGAACATTGTTGTCAAACCCAAGTCAAATGGTGTCAGTATGTCATGGATTTGATGTATATTTCGTAATAACCATTTGATGAGTGCTCTGGTCTGAGCTGGGTCCAGTGAAAATGAAATGAAGAATTTGTTTCAAATTAAACAGAATTTGGCCTGGACAGCTTGCTGGGCTGGTTGTAGACATAACTTGTCTTGCTCTCTTCTTATAGGTTTATTCCTGAGGCTTGGTCCACTTGTAGTGTCACCTGTGGAGTGGGCAGCCAAGTGCGGCTTGTGAAATGCCAAGTGCTCCTCTCTTTCTCTCAGTCTGTAGCTGACTTGCCCATTGATGAATGTGAAGGTCCCAAACCTGTGTCTCAGAGAGCTTGTTACAGTGGTCCCTGCAGTGGGGAGGCAACTGAATATAGCCCAGAGGAAACTGAGATCCTATATGGCAGCTTGCAGGAGTTTGATGAGCTCTATGACTGGGAATATGAGGGCTTTACAGAATGTTCAGAGTCCTGTGGAGGAGGTAAGTGCAAAGTGTTTCTGTGATGGATTTACTTTCCGTCTTTAAGTGCATGCTTTGCAGTTAACACCCATATTTATGCTGCTTTGCTACAGCTATTTAGAATCATAGAATCAATTAGGTCAGAAAAGACCTTTACAATCATCAAGTTCAACTATAATATCATCAAGTCCAAATGTATTTGAAGAGGTGTGGATGAAAATTGTGGGAAAAAAAATGTCCACAACATACTTTAGCCCAGGATCCCCAGGCTCCATGCTAAGGATGTCACTATGAGTGATCAATTTATCACTTATTTGTCTTCACTTTTATCAGTTGATCATTCAAAAGGCACTCATGCAAAAAAGCCAAATGTTAATGTAGCCTCATGATACAAGCTGAGGATTGTGTGGTGTTTTAAGTTTTTATCTCTTGATTTGTACTGTGCAAGTGTAAACATGTGGAAGTAAATCATCCTCCTCTAGCATATGCATTAAATTATTGATTTTCTAAGCACTCAGACAGTTCTGTAATTCCTATTAGTTACATTAGTGACATTAGTTCCAATCCCAATACAAAACCAAACATACGGTAAAAAAGCACTAATGATGTGAGTGTCTGAAGCTAGCAGGCTTGGCACTTGGAGTTTCTCAAAGTTAATCAAGGTCTCAGGTTGCATACATTATAAAACATTAATGCACAGTTGTCTGATATCCTTTTTTCCCCATCGTTTTGTCTAGCTTTTTCCAAGAAATATGTCTATTCCATTATTTTTTAATTAAACCTAGACTTTTCCAGCTGCTGTGTTTTTACATTAAAAGTTTCAGGCTATTTAAAAAAGGTTTGCTGGAGATAAATACAGAATAGCTAGTATAGAACAGGAAACAACTCAATACTTCACAAAAGGTTAATAGTGAAATCTGTACAGATTTACCAGCAATAAGTTACAAACTTATAAAACCACCATTAGGCGAAAATAATGCAAAGGTTTTCTGTGTTTACTTTTAGCTTACTGACAGTAGACATTGCTTAGAGCAGCACACAGGGAGTTGTCAGGCCTCTGCCAATATTGTTGTATTTCCTTCCAAAAAAAATGTGCTAAATGGTGATGAACACTTACTTTACAGGAGCGTTGTCATATATTGAGGTTTCTAGCAAGCAGTAACAACTTGTCACACTTAAACTGTGAATCCTGAAACTCAATTTTTTTCTAGAAATATCCTTTTGAAATGAAGTAATTCCTTTGAATATAGTGACTGTGTGTATTTTTTTTCAAATAAAACTCACAGAGACTAATATGAGAGAGACATTTTGCCTTAAATTTAATTCCTTTCAATTGTCAGCAAAAATTGTCAAAAATTGTCAGCCAAGATTTCTTTTTGCCTGATGCAGGCTCCAAATTTTCCAGATTGGCAGATGCTAAGTCAGATATTTTTCTAGTCATAGGTGCAAGACCGGTCAAGCTAATTTTATTGGTTTTGGAGTCTCAAGAGAAGAAATCGGATAGATGCAGAAGTAACCTTTCACCTCCCAGAAGCAGCAAGCAGAAGGATTTAGTTAGCCATTTAGTCTGCTGTTAGTGGCTGCATTCCCCAGAGCTGTCATCAAGTATCATGTAACAATTATTCTATTCTGGTAGATATAAAGACAGAAAATCTCATTTTATGGTATTTTGAAAGTGAACGTAAACTGACTAGATTCATGTCCCACTCTTTACACCTTTCTATATTGTTTTTTCTTATTGAAAACTGATTTCTTTTTTCAGGGAAAGCAATTTTAAAGCAGTCAGCTTTTTGTTTCGGTAGCATTGTGCAGGAAATAATGTTTAGAATTCTGTTACTTGGCAAATAAACTTCCTGCAGTTCATACATGTTTTTTAATTATCTATGTACTATAGAAATTCTGACAGAAAACCAAAGGTCTTCATATTCTCTAAATGTTCAATGACCCATCCTTCATTTAAAGCCTATAACCACTTGCTACACTGACCTATCAAAAACATGCTGAGACACACTCAGTGAAAGATTCAAAGCAAAGCTGAAAAAAGTGACTCTGAGCTTGTTTGCTGCTGGAGCAAGTCAGCTTTTTTTGTTGTTGTTGCTGGCTGAGGCTATGAGACCAAGAAACATTTGTCAATACCTAGTCTGACAACCAGAGAGTGGTTAGATTAAAACAGGAGCTTTTTTCTTCCGTATATATACTGTCAGGCAAGATTACTGGTCCTACCAGTATCTTTGAAAGGTAAAGAACTGTAAGAATCTCTGAAAGAAAATTGTAATGAACAGAGTAGAATGCTGGTAGGAGAGATTAAAATTATTGAAAATACAATCAGAGATTACTTAGTTGGCAGGAATAAGCATTGGGAACTAATTCACTGGGAGGTCTGGGGTAGGCTGAATACTGAAAATTGAAGAGCAGTAGTATCAGAGCTTGACTAAATTAATTTGTTAAAACAAAACCATCAGTTTAAGAAACAGAGAAAAGGCTGAATTCGAGGCCTCACAGTCAGTCACTTTTGGGTAGTCAGCACTGAAACAGAAAATGCAAAACTACTTGATGGTAATTGATACTCACTGGTCAAGAGCCCATTAGTAAACACTTCAGAGAGGAGAAAATGAAGCTCTGGAAATACTTTCAGATGAGAAAATTTTAGTCCAACTCATGCAGATGGTGAGTGAGCTGTAGCCCTGGAAAAGAGAATGATGGCATTCTCATTCTCTGGAAAAGAGAATGATGCCAGCATGTGGCAGGACTTGGTGGCTTCTTTCCACAGAGTTAAGGAGAGTACTTTTGATGTTGCCTTACCTCCGGATTAGCAGTCCTTCTCTCCTGGCTTCATCAGATTGGTTTAGATGTCAGGCCTGTACAAGTGATCAATGCAATGCAGAGACCAGTAAGTTGAACACAGTGCCTTTTCCCATCAGGTGGAGAGCCACCTCTGTTCTGCAGCCAGGAACAGTCTGTCTTGGGGAATCCATATGCCTCTGCTTGCTGTACACAATATGATAACTTGCTCAACAGAAAAATAATTGATTTGGAAAGATACTGAACATGACAGATAGAGAACATACTATGTATATAAATTTCATTGGTTTCCTTTCCTAGAAATAAGTCACTAGCATTTGTTCTATTCTTATAATGGGTTGTCCTTTTTACATTTTTTAGAGTCTTTTGGGAGACTGCTTGAATAGCAAAACAGTTTGAAAATATGGGGCTGCCTTGTAAAGGATAAAAAGCCACAATTATGTTGGCTGACTTCAGGGATTTTGAAAATTTCAATGTTGATGTCCCTAGTTCAATGTTGATATGTCCAAAAGTGACATATTTCTTTCTTCTCTTCAGCACCTTGAGTACAGTGGCGACACTGTCTATCCTTGAGTCACAGCCATGCCCTGAATAGGCTTGCACACACAGGAGGCAATAAATTGAATGCCTCTTTGCTGTGGGCCTTTCCTCAGCCTGTACAGAGAATAAGGGGAATGACTCTGTGAATAATTTCAGGAGCACAGGAACCACAATGAGTTGAAGTACTTTGGTCCTGTTGAGTAATATTATATCATTGTTTGCCTAACAACATGGGTTCTGGCATCAGAAATACCAGAAGGTATTTACAGTTCTCCTACACTGCTCTTAGAGCTGTTCAACGTCTTCCATCATTATTTTTGTTTTAAATACTGGTACCTCCAAAAGATTGTGAGATATTTTGGAAAACTAATTGTTTTTTTGAGAATATGATGCAATTATTATCAGTTCAGCTAATCTTTTCCTAACTTGGGAAGTAAGGGGGAACATAAAAAGCATACTTCTACTTTGCTTTGAACCACTATGGATTAGATTTTTAGGAAGTTCAGGCCAGTTACTGTCCTCAGACCCCTTGGAAAGAAGTAGATTCTCACTAAGTACTCTTTCCTGTGGCATGCAGTGTTGAAATCCCTGATTTTCTAGCTTCCTAATCTTGTGACTGAAAAAAACCCTGCACTATTCCTACCTTACTCAGGAAAAGTGAGACAGAGTAACTGGTATGCTGGAGAAAATTTGGTATCGCCAAGTATTTTGTGAGTCAGAACATAATCACCATATCTTCCAGCTTTTCTCTTAGTGCCCACAACTGCCCTTGGTTCTGTCTCACCTCTCAGATACACCTGCATGTTTGCATCTTCAGTTTAGGTGCAGGTCTGCAGATGCAGCAAAGTAACTGACAGCTGCTGAATTGTCTGATCTTGTTTTACTTTGCTTTTGCACATATAGCAATCCTACTGCTGCTTAAGATACAGCATGCCAAAGTCAAGGCCAACTTCACACCTTAGCTTGTTTGACTGACAAATAAAGAGCCTCATTGCACTTATAGTGACAGGGAGAGCCACTAGAGAGCACTGGACAATATTCTGTCCAGGGAAGGTAAGTGGTGACTGAAGCTACGGACTTTTCACTGCAATCAAGATACCTAGTGAGACTGAAAGCAAGGGCAAGTAAAAGCTCACCATCCCATGCAGTGTTTCAATCAGTTCATGTCCCTGTTGGCTTGGGAGCAGGATATAAAAAGGGCAGCAAGGCATGTATGACTGTGTCTGGAAAAATTTAAGAGTTACAGATGAACGCTTTTCCCAACAGAAGGGAGAAAAGAACTGAGATTTTCCCTACTCTGTCAGATTCATTATGCCAAGAAATATCCTCCCTTGGCAGATATCCATACTGTACTCCTCAAAGACAATCAGACGGAGTACTTGGATGTGGTCAGCACTTTGCGACACACAGCAGCCCCACTGCTGCCCTGCTGGCCCTTCCCCTGCACTCAGCTGCCCGTCCAGGTACGGAAACTTGGCTGTGACCATGCATTGTTGTGTGCAGGTGTCCAGGAGGCTGTGGTGACCTGCCTGAACAAACAAACCAGAGAGACTGTGGATGAGGTGCTATGTGTAACCAGCCGTCGTCCTCCACAGCTGCTGAAAGTCTGTAGCCTGGATCCCTGCCCTCCAAGGTAGGCTTCTTATATCTTATCACCAAGCATAATTTTTTTTTCCAGATTTAAGAGAGTTGTGATCACTGATGAAGCTGGAAAACTGATCTTCAAGCTGCCCGTAAGTCTGAGACATTCAATACCAGGCATACTTGGATCTGGGCATTACTAAAATCACTCCAAAAGCACAAAACACCCAAACAAGAGCCTAATCTGACTCCCCGTGTTGGCAGTACCACAAACTCAGCAGGTCTCCTTTTAACTCATGTGAAGTGAGCACAGGTGATACAAGTGAGTAAAACTCTGCTGCTGCACGAGGTAGAAGATTGGCACAGCCAAGCTGGTGGTGTTATCAAGGACCCAGATACCTGGGCCAGGACTTTTCTGTCCTGCCCAGATGTTGTTTAAAGAATTTTGAGGAATCCATATAAAAAATAACACAAATTCACAAGTGTGGGTGATCACAGTCCAGTATGTTGCTCAGAGCAATTAAAAACCACTACTATTATGAAAAATAAAAATAAATATTTTCAAATAACTTGTGACCCCAAGTGGTCTGCAGGCATGCACTGCCTCACACATGCACTTTCTCAGACTGCAGGAACTTGCAGCCTCTTCATGGCACAGCAGTATTGGCTGGTAAGAGCAAAGCAGTGGCAAAACCAAAGGGCAAACTTCAGACCACTTGGATATTCAGGTCTTGCAGGCAGACAATATATGGTTTAACTTTACCCAGAGTAGTGTCAAGTTTAAGGAGTTTTCTTCAACTCTTCTCTCACTAACAGTTTTGCAGAACTTGTTCTTCCCTTGCTTCCTGCAGCCTCCAAAATCAAATACATAATCAAATATGGCCAGCATGCATGAAATGGTAAGGAGAGAAGCAACAGTTTTATTGCATGATCAAGATCTTGAGTCTGTGACAAGCAGAGCCAAATAGGTTGACGTATTTCACCAAAGCATTACAGGAACTGCTTATGAGGATAGTGCTACCCTTACTTTATTAAATTGTCTGTATTGCTGGCAACAGCACACAAATATTTAAATAATGACTGCAAAGAACTTTGTACAATAGCAGAAAGGAGCACAGTCACTTTTCTTCTGGAAAAGAGTATAACAAAATCTCTTATTTTGTACTGCAATAAGAAATAATGAAACATTGAGAAGCAGATTGCAAAGTTGGAAGCTAGAAACTTATTTTCAACAGAGTAGGTACGAAGTCAAATTTCATATTGTTAACTTGTTATACTCCTTTGGCATTTATATTAAAAAATTATAATCTGTCTTCAGGTACTGAAAAGCCCAGCATGCTTTCTCTGGAAAAAAAGGGATTAAGACTATGATAATTTTAATTCAGTCATTCAGTTACTTAATTTTTGTCAATCAAACTGTATCACTTCCAAACTGTACATAGCAGTACTTGAGCAGAGCACAATCTAGCAGAAGTAAAAGCAGAATAGCTGTTCAAGGTCTAAAAGTACCTCCTCTAAGCTCCAAAAACGAAAGGGCACATCACCCAGTTCTGCTAATTCCTATGTTTGTATTTTAAGGTACTCCAAAAACAATCAGAAATGCCCTGTTTCAATGTTGGCTTTACTGTTTTCAACAACAAAATTACTTACATCCAAAATGTGTCTTTTCCTCAGCCTCTGCAGCTCAAAATACACAGGCAGTCATCATCTCATCAGATATAATTTCTTTTTATAGCAGCAACAGTGTGAGCACCTCATTGTAAGCCAACAAAAGCTACCAAATGAGTGAAGGAGAATATTGTAACTGTGTTATTAATTATAATTGCTCAATAGCTTGGTCAATGTGTGTTGAAAAGGTTTGGTAAACATATATGGAGGAGTGGAAAGAGAAGCAAAACAATGAAAGCCAGATGGCTGAAAATTGAGGAAATTCCAGGCAATTTCTATAGCTTTGTTGTTCCATATTTTCAAAACTGAACTTTTATTCCTGTACAACAAAGACCAGTTGAACGCTACAAAAGAAAAAGAAGAAGAAATGGCAGTTCTAGAATAAAAGGCACACGATTTCACCCCAGCATTCTCCCATTACTCCTCCAAGCCTCTGTTTTTAGCAAGAGAAGATGAGAAACCATTTGACTGGTCCTGATAGCTGACTGCAGGGTTAAGCAGCCTGAGCTATGCTGGACCGTAGCTAAATGCACAGTATCCTCTTTTTTTTTTTTTCCTTTCACTGCCAACCTCTTTTTTCACTGCCAATCTTCTTTTTTCCTGGCACTGTTAATTTCCCAGTTTTAGTCACCTTAATACAGTCCACTTCTCTCCACTCTTCTCTAATGTCTGTGCTAACCAGAACTTAATGTTCACTACCACTTTATATTTTTCAGTGTTTTAAACAAACATACTCTTACTTCATCATTTATACATCAACTTCTAATTCTTTTTTTTCTCTTTTTTTTTTTTTTTTTTTTTTTTTTTGAGAATTAGTTCAGTGCCTCAACAGGATTTCACTCCCAAATTAAAGCTTTCCCAACTGACAATAAAGAGCATGTCTTTGCTCTTGTGCCAAATAAGAAGTTAAGTCAAATGTTTTGAAGCATAATGGCTAGAATCAATTGTTCACTGCAGCATTAACCTATGAAATAAGCTAAGTTATAGTAAGAGTGATAAGCAGTTGATTTTACCATGTGTCATCACTTCTTCTAAAAAAGGGTGAAACGTAGAGCACCATTATGTCTTCCATTTACAGTACCACTGAAGTAACTTATTGTAGCAGTAGTCTGAGCAATACCTAATACTTTCAAATCAGCTGTACAGAGTAAATTATAAGTATGTAGAAGATAAATAAAAATATGGCCCTAATTGCTGCAAATTCAGTGTACAGTTCTGTACCACGCTTACATATCAGAAAGATTCACACATTAAATACATGGAGGAGGCACCTTTATTTCCTTTTAATTACCTATACTTATAGAAGGAGCCAGAAGGATTAAGCAAAGAGTGCTGTATCTGCCAAGCAGGTCCACCGCAATCCCTCGTATTTGTGACCATGAAAATTTCCATCTTCAGTATCATGATCTCCATTCCCTGGCCTCTCTGTTAACATTGTTAAGCACTGAAGATGTCACTGATAAGAGGTTGTGGTGTACAGTTACCCATTAGAAATGCAACTAGGCTGAAGTATTCTACACTGTAATCCACTGTTAGTAGATCTTAGTCATTCATAGCCTTGGAAAGGACTTGAACTTCACACAGACGTGAAGAGTAAAACAGTTAATTGCCAAGATATTCACAAATTTGTAATGTTTTAACTATATTGGATGAAGGTTTGAGGTTTGGGTTGGTTTTTTAAACTGTAATAGTTACACTCTCATGGTTCATAAGCTGAACTAAAGTGTTGGGTCATGTCAGACTAATTCATTCCCCTTCCCACGAGGAAGCAAATTGTGCTGTCCTAAAGTTAATTACTTTTTTCCAAGATCGAAGAGCCAGTTTCTCATTCAGGGAATGTTAGGGGAGAAGTGCATTGAGTTGCCATTCTGTAGTCTGTGGATTCTTCACACAAACCTGTATTGATATATCTATGTGGGTGGAGATAGGACATGTTGTAGTACAAGTTTGCCTATATACACAGGAACTTTTCTGACACCCTCACTTTGAACATAGTAACCTCTTTCCATGCTTTTGAGTCAGAATCACATCTTAGTTGATACTTTCAAGAATCTAGATGCTTTACCAATGGTTGTGGTTATTTATGGGCATAAGGAATTCAGAGCTTTCTCACTCAGTGTGAGGAGCTCCTGCATGTGTGGAACTCTGTGTGTCAGTGAGAGCAAAAACATTGGCCAAGAAGGCCAGCAGCATCCTGGCCTGCATCAGAAATAGTGTAACCAGCAGGAGTAGAAAAGTGATTTTCATCCTGTACTGGGGACTGGTGAGATCACACCTCAAGCACTGTGTTTGATTCTGGGCCCATCACCATAAGAAGGCCATTGAGGTGATAGACTGTGTCCAGAGAAGGGCAAAGAAGCTGCTGAAGGGCCTGGAGAACAAAGTCCTACGACAAGAGGATAAGGACACTGGAATTGTTTAGTTTGGAGAAGAGCAGGCTAAGGGGAGACCTCATTCCTGTCTACAACTGCCTGAAAGAAGGCTGCAGTGAGGTGGGCACAGGCCCTGCCAAGTGAATTATGATAGGACAAGAAGAAATGGCCTGAGCCTGGCCTGTACCAGGGGAGGTTTTAATGAGATATTAGGAAAACTTTATTGACCAAAAGAATAGTCAGGCACTGGAATGGTCTGCCCAGGGAGGTAATGGAGTCACCATCCCTAGGGGTGTTCAAAAAACCTGTAGAAGTGGCACATACTCTAGGGGCATGGTGGGTATTGTTGTTTGTGGTGGGATGGGGGATGGGGTGGGATGGTTTGTGGGTTTTATTGTTTGATTGTTGGTTTTTTTTCCTGGGTGAACTGTTCGACTTGGTAATATTAGAGGTCTTTTCCAACTGTAACAATTCTCTAATTCTGTGATCTTTTACTACAGAAGAGTGAATAGATTATCAGTCACTCTTACAGAATCTCAAAGGGGAAAGTAAAAAAGAAATGTTTGATCTGGATATGCCCTTGGAACACAGTTCTTGCACTGTCTTACTATGTTCCAAGATGCCATTCATGCAATTTCTCTCATATTCCTCAGACCTTCCTGTATTACTTTTAATTTTGCATCATTTTATTCTGTCCCTCAACTGTTTCCAATGTTCATTTTTTAAAAGGGGCTACCAATTATCATTGTATCTCGTATAAAATACTGAACAACCCCTTTGTAAGAAGCTGCTACTGTAAGCATGAGCCTGGATCAAACTCAACAAAATGCCTAATCTGGTCTATGGTTCCTTGTCTCTCTCCTGCCTGTCTCGCCATTAGTGTCATGGTTTGGGCCCAACACAACAATAAAGGAACAGCCTTATGGCTGCTCACTCAACTCCACTCCTCCCCCCCACACACACACGAGCATGAGGAGGACAAAACTGATGGGTTGAGACAAAGGACAAGGAG